GGGAATAAGAATTAAATGGCAAACAGGAGTACTGAAGAAAGATTTTATTTTATTTATTTACTGTATAGTCCACCTTTCTTAAGGAGCTGCGGTGGCTCAAGTGGTTAAGACGCTGAACTGCAGGCTGTGGAAGGTCAGTAGTTCAGCAGTTCGAGACCCAAGTTGCCGCATGATGGAGTGAGCTCCCATCTCTAGTTCCAGCTCCTGCCAACCTAGCAGTTTGAAAGCAAGAAATTGCAAGTAGATAAATAGGTACCACTTCGGTGGGAAGGTAACAGCGTTCCGTGTGCCTTGGTGTTTAGTCATGCCGGCCACATGACCACAGAAACGTCTTTGGACAGCGCTGGCTCTTCGGCTTTGAAACGGAGATGAGCACCGCAACCCTAGAGTCGGACTCGACTGGCTTTCGAGCAAGGGAACCTTTACCTTTTCCACCTTTCTCATTGGGATTCAAGGTAGATTACACAGAATGAGCTAATACGATCGACAAGATGGTACAACCAATAAACAATGAAATAGGATGTGGGTTGTAGAACTAACCAAGTCTAAAAAATTGAACTGAAACAATGTGTTAACATGGCATATTAAATGATGCAAAATTGCATTGTAGGATCCAATTTATAGCAAACTACAAGTAGTATAGACTAGGGATGGGCAAGAACTGGGAAAATGCGGTTTGTGTCGGTTCGTGAACCAAACTTGGCAGACAGAGCAGGTTTGTACTTCGTGGCTCCACAAATCCTGTTGAAAGGGACCGCAGAAAGCCCAAAAAACAGCGGCGGCGGCTCAGCTGTTTTGGCCTGTCTTGTGCAGTCCCTTTAAAGTTTTAAAGGGACCGCACAAGACAGCCTAAAAAACAGCTGAGTGGCAGGGAGTGGCCACTGCTGCCACTCAGTTGTTTTTCAGGTTGTCTTGAGCAGTCCTTTTAAAGTTTATAGGGACAGCACAAGACAACCTGAAACAAATGAGCCACGGGGAACAGATGTTTCCACCACACAGCTGTTTTTCAGGCTTTCTTGTATACTCCCTTAAACTTTAAAGGGGCTGCACAAGACAGGCCAAAACAGCTGAGCATTGAGGAGCAGAATGCTCCCTGATGCCCAGCTGTTTTTGAGACTTTTGTGGGAAACAGAAAACAGGGTCCCTTTAAACTCAGATTCCCTTTAAACCCCTGCTTTCTGCTTTATCCACGAATTGCTTTAAAAGTTTATGGAAGTTTGTGACTGCAGACCTGCCACAATCTTTGTTTTGTGAACCACGAACAGGGCAAAATTTATCAAAAATTTTGCTTTGTGGTTCCGTTTGTGCCTATCCCTAGTAATCCCTAATAATTTACCCAAGTAACTTTGTGAAGCATTTTGTACAGGGCTACCCTGTTGCCTGTGTAAAAAAGCCATCTTGAATAAAATAATGGAACTGTTTCATACAGTGTAGTTTCTCTGTACCAGTTTTCACTGCAAAAGGTATTCAATTCAAAACCTTTATTGGCATGGATCAGAGTCATAAACAGTCACCCTTCAGTTCATGGATTTAACACATAGCTTCCTCGTTATAAGGCAGTTACAGAAATTAGCCACCGCTTCAATAACCACTGTATTTTGTGAAGACAATAAATGGTATAACATTCTGTCATCTGATTGTTTGACATCTTTCTTAAGTATGGCCTCTAAATAGACTGCCCGAATGTCATCATACAAACTACAGTGGAGGAATACGTGTTCGATTGTTTCAATCTCCTCTGAATCACAATCACAAAACCTAACAGAGTAGGGGATTTTCTTAAATCTTCCTGCTAAAACCGCAGGAGTTTTTTACTCTCTCTCTAAATTCGTTCACACTCTGCCTTCTGTGGCTTGGCTGGCTATGTTGATGATGGTGCTGCTGTTCTTCAGCTTTCTTGACGCTCTCCTTCTGAGGTCACTCTGTTCTCTGTCCTTGGACCCAGATGGCTTCTGTCTCCCCTTTTCTCTCCTCAGAGTTCTCTCTTTTCTTCTCAGGACTGTCCTTTCCCCTAGGACTCTCCTACGGCTCCCCCTCAGGGATAAAATACCTCCTCCCCCAACTGTAATAGAGGGCCAAACCAAGAGGGTTACTATTAAGTACTGGACTTGAGGCCAGTGTTCCCTCTAAGCTGAGTTAGTGTGAGTTAGCTCACAGTTTTTTAACCTCTGGCTCATACATTTTTGTTTTAGCTCAGGAGGGATGGCTCCAAAGCAAACTAGTCTATGTAGGAGCCAAATCACTCGCTCACAGCTTTAATGCTGGTAGCTCACAAAGTAGAATTTTTGCTCACAAGACTCCACAGCTTAGAGGGAGCATTGCTTGAGGCAGCTCTTATCAAACAGTGATTTCTTTTATTCAGCTCAGAACACAACACACAAAACAACCCAGCAACAATCCACACTTATATACAGTCAAGAGCAGTCAAAACCACTGTCAGAACCCACAGCTAACAATGAAGTACGCGCATTCAGGAACGGTTATACTTTTATTGCAAAGCTATAGATGCAGTAACACAGCCGTGGTCAAATCATTTAAGAAAAGATTAAAAAGGAGGGGAGCCAATACACAGCCCTGCTTAACCCCTATTTTGATGGAAATTTTCGGGGTTAAATCACCATCCCTAGAGCCTCTTACTTGGCAAGTGGTATCTGTATATAATTTCTTAATCAACAGGAGCAATCTCATTTCAATTCCCAACAGCCTTAACTTCTTCCATAGAAGCTCCCTTGAGACAGTATCAAAAGCACTCTTCAGATCCAGGAAGGCAGCATACAACTTGGACCCTTTCCCTTTTTTGTATTTATTCACTAAGTGACTTAGCACAATACAGTGATCCAGAGTTGACTTCCCCTGACAAAATCCTGCTTGTTCTATACCTAGGATTTTTTGTTCAGCCATCCAGGCCTTAAGTTTAGACGCCAAGTGGCTTGCATAGAGTTTCCCTAGTATGGAAATCAGGCTAATGGGCCTATAATTACTAGGTGATCTACAGTCACCTTTTTTAAAAATTGGAACGATAATAGCATTGGTCCATGCTTCAGGTATTATTCCTGTTCTGTCTATAGCAGTAAATAGAACTGCTAAGAAGGACGCCCACCATTCCGGAATCACTTTAATGGCCTCCGGGGGAATTGCATCTGGTCCCGGCGCCTTCCCAGCCTTAATTTGAGCAATTAGCGTGGCAACCTCCACATCCTGCACCGGCGGCCACTCGGGACAATCCCCTAGACTGATTTCGAGATCCTCAATTTCACTCCTTCCATCTACCGAAAAGATCTTCAGGAAATGTTCGTACCAGGCCTTGGCGGTAATTGAGGAATTCGTAGTACTGTTCCTGCCTAGAGCCTCGGAAATCACCGCCCAAAATTTCCTAGCATCATTGCTAATTGTGGCTTGGAGAAGAGGCTCCCAGTTTTTCTGGAGGGCGGCTTTTTTTTTCTCTCTGAACAATTTACTTAAGGATGCTTTGGCTTCAAAATATACTGCTGGGAAATACTCACAACAAGAACTCCTATAAATCTGATACAAAGATCGTACATGGGCCTTCGCTTCAAGGCACTCCCTATGCAAAAGGTATTTGGGAGAGATGCCCATAAGAATATGAGAACCAATACCCAAAACACTGTTTTTAGCTTCTGAAGAACAGTCATAGGGCTGAGCAGATAATTGAAATAATGTCTCGGGCCTGTGAAGACTTACATAATATTCGGTTTCGATTCTCCCCAACCAGTTATGGGAAGGAAGCAAACTAGATGTGTGTAGGGGTGCAGATGGTGGGAATTGCTGCCAGATAAATGGTACTGTCTTTCTGGGGCACTAAATCTCCCTTCATATTGCAAATCAGCTCAGATTTGATCTATGTGCTGCTGTGGAATTAGGTAGGTCAAGATAGATTGAAGAGTGTAGCTTGGCAAGGAAGTATCTTCCTCCCTATGCTGTCTAGGATAGTTCCTTTTTCCATTGTCGCTGAGATGGAAAAGTTTAATGCAGTGGGGTTAATCCCTTCTTTTCCCTTCCTTATTTGATGGGGCTCTTAGAAACTTACAGTTTAGTTTTTACTGGAGGGCTTTGCATAAGTCCTTTCCTCTTCAGAAGACTGTTGTGGTTTGTTTTTTCTTTACACAGTAACCACTTTGAGCTGTGGTTTGGGTCCACCAGTGATTTGTTTATGGAACAGTATTTGGGGTAGTATTCCTCAAAGGTCCATTGCAGTTTTGGTGGTGGACAACCTATGAGGCTTCCTTAGTCCATATAAGTCAGTACCATCTACTCTACAGACTGGCAGCACCACTTTAAGGTTTTCAGACGGAAATCTTACTGTGGCCACCTGATTAAAAAACTGGTTTTGCCAATGAACAATAATTCATTAGGATTAAATTATAACACATAATTACCTAGGATTATATGTAGCTCACTTGAAGTTATCAAAATGCATAATATCAAGAAAACTGTATATGAATACAGACTCTTGTATGAATGGTAGTAAATGAGAAGTGAGGTGGTGAGGTGTAATTGAAAGTCAGTGGCTTGGTTCATACATAATGCCAAATCATAGCCATGGGTTGTAGAGCAAGTGCAAACAAAAGTTTGCCATTACATCTGAAATAGCAAACTCTGGTTTGCTGCAAACCAGGAAATTACTGATTTGCTTGTGAGAGGGAGGAAGGATCATTTGAGAGAGGCTGAGTTTCCTTCCATATAGCTTTGTGTCTGAACCAAGCCAAATTCAGCCATATATTGTAAATGTTCCTGGCTTAATTTACCCTTGTCCATGCCTGAGTGTATGTAGATGTATCTGTCCCTTCTACTAACTGAATAGCTGGCATAGTTCTTATTTACCTCTGGTTCAAGGAGTTAGGATGAAGTTGATCTCGACATATTTTCTGATAAAAAATAACTTTGAGTAAGATGCCACACTGAAAACTGATGTGAACAGCTGAATTATTCACAACACCAACATATCAACAATGGTACATATAAAATGTTTTCTTTTTCAGTGGACCGGCCCAAAGCCCAGCAGATTAGAACCTCTAGCACCATAAGACGAACTTCTTCTTTGGATACAATAACAGGACCTTACCTCACAGGACAGTGGCCTCGAGATCCCCACATACATTATCCTTCATGCATGAAGGATAAATCTACTCAGGTAAGCTTGAAAAGACAAACATGGATACTTAACAGCTAATGGATTCCAGATGGGTCAGGCAGCACATAAGCATTCTGAGGGGGCATGATTGCATGGGGTCTCTTGCACTCTAATCTTTCTAAACAAACTTCTCTCTAGTTCATCTTGGCTTTTCTCATTTCTTCTTTTTATATTGTGTTAGCTTTGCTTCTCATTTTGTTCTCTCCCATTGTCAGCATTTTGATTGCACTAATTCTTTCAGTCTTCTGGTCCTTCCTTTCTCCCAAGGCTGCTTGAACCAGTGAGCAGGTAAACAGCAGACACCCAGCTATTCTCTGGCAGTTGTGTTTCTGCCCGTCCCCATACAAAAAGCTGAAGATTAGTACTTCCACATTTAATTGAAACGTTCTAAGGTTCTGAACATTGTTCAGACCACGTAATTGTGCTCATCTGCTGTAAAGTTAGAGCATTTGGCCCACTTGGCTCATGGAACACTGATATACCCTAGTTTACAAAACACCTTTGCAATATCTGTGGGGGAACTGAACCTTTTGAAACATCTTAGCTTTCATTTGTACTCAGGAGGACTTCTTACTCAGCATCTATGGAAGCAACTTTTAAAATTTTAGAGCATGACCAGATCAGGCTTAGATATACATGAAGTATTCATAATTTAATTTTGGTGTGATCCCTCTTCAAACAGCAAGGAACAGTCCTTTGAGGTCCTGGCCTTTGACTCCCTGCCTAGTAACCTAAATTCTTTCTCCAGGACCACACAACTACATTTCCCAGTGTCATTGGTGACAACATACACCATGACTGCTGACTCTTCCCCAGCACTATCTGTTAACCTATCTAGACAGCACGTGATGTCTGCAACCTTCACACCAAGCAGGCAAGTCACCATGCAGTCAAAACACCTGTCACAGACCCCGCTTTTTATATTCCTAATGACAGACAGACAACCTTTATTGGCATGTCAAAGATAAAAGTACATTAAAATTTAAAAAACACATTGAGGTAACAAAGCAATCTTAAAGTCAACCAAAATGAAATAGATCAATTAATAGCTTCCCTGAATCAAATTGCAGACTGGAGAAAACAGGTGACATTAGAGGTTATGAGAAAGTTGTGTCCAGAAAGTAACCATGATCTGGCTGTGACATCTGTCACCCCATTGATCGCCAGGGTTGATTCAGTTGATTTGGCTGGCTAGGCGGGTGTCCCCTACCCCCCTCACCACTCCATGTGTGTCCCTCCTGAAGCTGTGCTCTTGGTCAAAGAGGATGACCATCTCAGATAGGAGTGTCAAGGGTATATTCCTAATGATCAAATCACCCACTACCAGAAGCCCAGCTCCTCCAGGGTATCCTCGGTACGAGAGGATATCAGTCCATTGCCTGTCACAGACCCCACTTTCTATATTCCCAATGATCGAATCACCCACTACCAGAAGCCAACCCACCCCCACCCCCTCCAGGGTATTCTTGGTACAAAAGGATATCAGTCCATCGCCCCTTTGTCCCTTTTAAGGGATCACATCCTTCCTCCTCAGACTGACACCTTCCGACCTTGAGACTCTCACTCTCAACAACAGCAGAATAGCTATCAGCACAGGATTGAGACTGTTCTGGTAAGTCCCTGAGGGTCTCTTCCCCAAACCTCTCTCTCTGCCTCAGCTTCTCCAGGTCGGCAACCCTAGCTGCAAGAAAATGAACCTGCTCCCTGAGAGCCACGAGCTCCATGTAGCAAGCATAAACCCACTATTTCCACCCAGTGGGTAGATAATTGTACATGTGGCACTCTCTGCAAAACACTGGATGGCCCCCGCTCATTTGCTGGCTTTCTACCTTCATAACTGGTTGGTGGTTTAAAGGTATTTAAAGCGATGCAAGGTCCTCAGGCCTGAACTCCAGGCTAAGAGCCACAGGCCAAGGGCCCTTTGATTCTGCCTAGGAGGAGCCTTACAGTTCAGAAGCCCCCAGCAGCAACAGCAGAGGGTAGGGCTTGCAATCAACCCCAGGCAAACATACCTTGCTCAATAAGGAACAGACCAGACAAAAGACTGAAACAGACTCAGACAAAAACACCACTCTCCAGCACGCTACAAGCACCCACACGCCCTCAAACTCATCTTCCTGGCAACTTTCTCCTGGGTTCTTTCTCCCAGCCCAGCTAGCTCAGTACTTGCAGCACTCGTGCTATGATTAATACAGGGACAACTGAAGGGTTTGGGTATCTACTGGGAGGTAGGTAATTCAGCTTGTCTTTTCAGGCAACATGCTCGAAAGGGGCAGCATTTTCATGAAATGCCATTGTGGGAGCTTAGCATCTTGAGATAATGGGTTAGAGCCAGATTGCATTTTTGCTAACTAAAGTGTGTGTATGTGGCCAGGGGGGCATTTTAACTGATTTGCTGTGTCTTGCTGAAATGAGTGGGTTGTGGTGGGGAAGCAAAAGCAGGAAAATTTCCCTGACAAGTGGTTTCTTTTAATGCAAAATTTAGTTGATTTCTAGGCCACTGACTAAGTGCAACTTTGAAGTAGAGGATAATGCATTAGCCTAGTAATCCCAAACATGGTGTCTAGGATGCTATGCTTGTATCCTCCCAACATTTTGTGATTGGCCCCAGCACTCCATGACAGCTGTTTTGTGATTTTTCCCCCTGTAGTACCTACTCCCCATCCTTAAATTTCTGGACGTGCCCATAGGCCCAACAAGGTTGGGAAGCCCTGTCTTAGACCAGTTCCCAGTTGATCATGGGGAAAGTGGTTGCAGCAGATATAATCTACGAGGGATACTTGACCTTTTGCTGATTGAAACTGGGAACCATGGATTACAGTATCCATTTTCCATACCTTCTAGCAATGTGTGTAGATTCTTCTGTACATTTCCTATATGCTAGGTGGACCCTAGCCAATGTAAACTCCAGTAACTTAACTAAGATGGTGGCTTGCTAGATCTGATCTGCTATAGTGTACTCTAAGTGAAGATAAACCTATATTTCTATGTATGTAAAGCCTGAAAGCTTTGCTTTTAAGAATTCTGATCCTTGGTAGCTGGAAATAATTTGTTCTTTCCTACCCTTAATTACTGCCCACCCAGCTTGCCTGAGTCCTAAACAAAAATTATGTGGGAATACCATATGCATTGTGAACTGAAAGAATTATGCAAGTTACATTTTGATCGCCTTTTTAAACAAGAGATCTTGACCTACTAATCCATTGTCTTTACAGTAGTTATGTAAGTCATATAAGACAGCCAGTGGAGGCCAAATTAAAATCTATAGCAATTTGAAAATTAATGGACAAAAGTAGGCAGGTGAGATTTACCAAAATGAAGGTGCTGTGTTAAAAAAATACATTTTCAAAATAGTTGAAGGTCGCTTTGTTCTGTACTTCTCTTCAGGTGACATAATCCGGTCTAATTTGGCTCCTATTACTCAGCAGTATCTTATTTTGAAAGCAAATTAAGTACTTTTTGTACTTCAAAGAATGCCCTACTTATTAGCAACCTCTGACCCAGATGCGGTCCTCAAAGCAATTTTATTTGGTGCTTGGAAGCCCTGCCATCTTACTTAAGGTGTAGCAAAAATGTTTACAGAATTGTTATTTATTTGTGGTTTCCATGTAGACCTTCATATGGGCTCTGTGCCTCCACTGGAGCTCTTCCACAACACCCTTGAGATCTATCCAGGGAACTGACATAATTTCCCTCCCCAAGAAGAAGACTGGTAACTCTCTGCATATCTCTAGTGGATGGGCAAGCACATGTCTGCTTAAAGAGTATGTAATTTAATGTTGCATACAAGCCTAAACTAGGCAATTCTTTGACTACTGAAGAAACGGCAAGACAACGTTTCACTTAAATTGTACTGTTTATGTAGAGGCAGGGCTGGCTCACCCGCTAGGCGAACTAGGCATTCGCCTAGAGCGCGGGCCGGCCCTGAGGGCACCAAACCGGCTCTCCCCCGCCAAAGCCCCCCAGCCCCCGCCAAAAGCCCTGTATCTTCCTGACTGCTGCTGCCGCTGCCTCTTTCTCACCAAGTCCCGCAAGGACTGCTTGCCGGACTCGGGGAGAAAGAGGCGGCGGGGGTGGTCAGGGAGATGCAGGGCTTTTGGCGGGGGCAGGGCCGGGGGCAGTTTGGCACCCTAGAACCAGCCAGTCAGTGCCAAAGGGCGCCAAACTGCACCCGGCCCTGCCCCTCCAAAAGCCGGGGGACCGGTGGAGAGCCTCCGAGGTTTCCGAGCAGTGCCCCCTTTAGTCCCTTCTTCCCCCCCCCCGAGCGCCCCCCTCTGAAGAAAGCACTGGGCTTTCTCCAGAACACTCAGATGCTCCCCGCCTCCTGGCTCCATGGAGTGCGCTGCCCCTTCCCGCCCACCTACTTCCTCCGAAGACAGCCGGGCTCCTTTGGAAAGGCAGGCATGCACTCCCGTGGGCGGGGGGGGGGGGCAAGTTACTGCCCACCCTCTCTCTATATTTCATTGTATCTAAAGAAGAGTGTTTGTGCACAAAAAAGCTCATCTGTTGATCTTAAAGGTGCCACTGGACTCAAGCCAGGATTTAGTTTGCTGAAAAGTATTTGTTGTACATAGTGTTTCAGATTTTGTTGCAAAGTTTGTTGCAGCCTAGTGTGCTAAAAAACTGGGGCCGGCCCTGAGAGGAGGCCAGGGGGTGGGGACATGTAGCAAGCCCCTACAGATTTTACCCCTGAGCACTCTGTAACGCTAATTCAGATTCATCCCAGCTGCATGTATGCAGGACCAGCCCTAGATCCAGTGGTGCCCCAGGCAAGTCCTTCCCCTTCCAATAGTTCCAACTTTTGAACACCTTTTTAAAAATTGTGTGTGTGTTACCCTCACAACAACCCTGTGGGGTAGGTTAGGTAGAGAAGGGGAGATTTGGCCCGGGGTCACTCAGCCAGCAGAGTGAGAATACAAACCTGGGTCTCCCCACATCAATCTGCAACTCTGACCACTGTGCAGTGCTGCCTCTACTGATCTGTAATGTTCCAGAGGTGT